TACATTAAAAAATAGTTTATATCATACGTGGGAACTCATGATAAACATTCTAATATTATTGTGCCGATTATGAAAATTATTTATATTATTATAGTAAAAGACAAAGTTATTTCAATGATCAAATCAACATCGATTCTTAAACGATAAGTTTTATAAATACTCGAACATGACATATTGTTTGAAGTGAACAAAACATATAAGCATGTGAACTTGTTTTTGACTATTAGTTTTTGGCAAAAGATATATACTGAAAATGGCTGTCCAACAAATGAAGTTTACAAGAAAGATGATATTTAGTTATATGTTTATCCCAAGAGAAAATGATTTTATCCTTAATTTGTACATTGCTTAATTATTGACACGAATAACATTCGAGATTTTATATGATATTATGCAAGCCATAGATCAGCAAATATTGAGCCAAATATATATCTGTTTATTTCGGTTTAGTTTCTGCATTTGTGATTTTATTGTTGTCAAAGAAAAAAAGAAACTGGTTATATTATAATTACAATTAAACTTGACATTTAAACATTAGAAAAAGTATAATGAAATCAATTATCGGTGAAGAATTCCTAGTGTAGTGAGTAGTAAAAAACACTAATCCATTACCTCTTTGTATTTGCATAAACTTGTTTATTAAGTGATCAAATATTTTGTCCAATAACCAATAACACGTCGAAGAATCTGAGTGGCAAGACTCTTGATCACTTGTTTTTATACATGTTATTAGAGAATGGCATAAACGCAATGAGTGTCATAGCCATTATTCGATACTTTTAACAAGTTGAAAAGAGTTCATTGTATATGATTTCCTGATTTCACTAATTCTATGTATTTCAATGAAATCAATGAAATCTATGAAGTCAAGTGAGTTCGTGAAGTCAATACACTGATTTATTTCTCAGTTTTTTTTATCACAGCAACACTCTTAGCCTGTACACTTGATATCTAATATTGATTCTCATGAACTCCAGACTAAGTTCAGTAGGCTACTGCTATGCTACCAAGTAACTGATAACGGAGAAGTTACAGCATATCGACCAAAGAGACACAATGAACAGGAAAGACAATAGTAGGTCTAGTGACTGTTAATAACAGTAATATGCATTATATCAAAGAGGAATCTGAATCTCAAATCCAATACTTATGAAAATTTTTCCGTTTGATTTTTCAGTCGAGTGAATAGAACTCCGTGAGAAGGATTCTGTGTTCGGCCGGTTCAGGGTCCAAGGCATATCCCGACGAGCCTTACTCTAAAATTAAAAGCCTAGTATAACTTGCCTGATGATATCACTATGAAGATTGCTTGAAAAATGTGTCGAACTCTTAGTTACCGAATACAGATAATAGCATTGTATCTTGTACTTTCGGAGTGACTACCAATGTAGATTAAAAAATTTCATACAGAGTATTATGAGTAGAGTTCAAATTCAGATTTCGGCCGAAGAAATGTCACAGAAATACGATCTAGAGTTAAAATTTCTCAATCCAACGGGTTTTACATTGGAACCTATTTTGAGAAAGTAAAGTTGTCTTTAATAAATTTTGACCAAAAACCTTCAAGGTCAAGGAATCGAATGGGAGCATCATGTTTTGAAGAATTTCACTGTTATTTTTCGACTTCCTAGAGACTTATTTTGTCACAATAACGAATTTTTTTTAATGAAATTTACCTGAGGGCAAGTGACTTTCACCGATTCGAATATACAGATGCTTTCTTAATGTTATTAATATAAATTTTTCGATCATGAAGGCCTAAAAACAATCGCTACTTTTTCAGAGCAAGACTTCCCTTAGTGAAAAAGTAAAGTGAAAGATTTATCAAAAGCTGAAAGTTACATTCGATTTCTTGACTCCGACAAATTTTGGTCAAACTTTATACAAAAACAAAAACTTACTCTCTTAAAGTAAGTATTCATTGGCGGAGTAAATTGAAGTTGAAGATTTTGAAAAACGGTTTGTAGAATTTATTCCACATCTAGTGGTTAGAAGTTGTGATTACCAATAGTCACTGTACCACATGTTAGTCACTTGTATCTCTTTTCATGGTGAGCGAATTACGTTTGTGTTACCAATATGAGGTGGTGATAGGATTCATATTCACTAGCATTTGCTCAGAACCATCTGAAATCAATCAGCATTAGTCCAAGGTACCTAATTTTCCCTGTTCAGGGCTTCTCTTAATAGCAAGAGAAAAACATATGGTATTCATGACTCTACTAACCCTATTGAATCCATAGATTTCATTGATTCCATTAGAATTCATAGAATCAGTACAAACAATAATCACTTAGCGTCATGCAGTCAATTCTTTTTTAATTGATCTTTAAGGTTTTAATTAAACTAACATAAATTAAACCCCAGAGAGAATTTGCAAGGGATGTCTCAGTTCTAGTTACAATATGTGGTAAAAATCAAAAATTGACATACTTCAAAAGGATGAAAATCTCATTTTAGTAAGAGCGTCCTATAATTATGGGGTAAGCATTTTTGTGTTTTTCTCTAATTTTTTCCACAGTTATCAAAAGTGATAGATTTGTCGTCAAGATCTCTATACTCACAGTATTGTTTGTGGAAACACTAAAACCACAATTATTATTTAGCTCACTGATTGATCAACAAATACATCTTTTCTAACGAATGTATTCATTTACCTGATATTGGCATGCAACTCATACATTGTATGAATAGGGCGGCTCTTATTCATTAAATTGAACACAATGACTATGAACTATTGTAATGCAAACATTTATGCTTATATGCATGCACATATAGATATCATGTGCCATTTATCTTGAATATCTACCAAGAATCTTTCAAGTGAAAAGAATACCGAATCTTACCTGGATTTTGAGAAACCCCAAACAACCTATAATCTTCTTCAAATTCTTCTTTTTTCTTAATTATTGGTCAGTCCGTATTATTTTCAGATTGAAATTTAGACATGCATCATGTGTTTTTTTTTCTACTACAAAAAACGATTGTCTAAACTTTAAGATAAAAAGAGTCTTGGTTAAACAATTAAGAGAAAATAGTACTTGAAAAGAATAGACTTAAGAATATTGATTAATGTTATTGACCTAAAGGAAAAAAGACGAATTCCGTATATCCGGGATACGTCGAGGATCCAAAGGATACGAAGGAGTCAGAGGATACGACGGGAGGATACACAGGATACCTGTGGGGCACATATGATAAAACTAGATATAATCAACAACATACACATTATATACAATAGATCAATGGGGAAAAGCTGAATTTTTTCGATTAACTCAGTTCTGTCTCAAATATTTAAAAAAAACTCAAAAGAACTCATAATACCAACTTTTCAATCAAAGGGATGTGTCAGATTACAGACTTAGCATCCAAAAAAATGTGAATTTAATTTGATTATCCTCAAAATCAGCATTCATTTCTAATAGCTTTTCACAAGATTTATTTTATATTTTATAATTCCTCATTTTTTCATACCTGGCATCGCCCTCAGAATTAAACAAAAATTTTTTGCGTGGTTTTGCTGAAAGCACTTTCTGTTTCATAGAGTTCAATGTGCTGATTAAAAATATCGACCTTTTTTTTAAAAGGTATTCCGAATAATAAGGAACATCTGAATCAGTCTTTGGATATCCTGAAAACTAGTTTTTGACTTGACAGTCTACTTCTGACTCAAAAAAGATAGGCTCATTCGACATAGAATTTTTTCCTCTATCAGAATTTATAAGAAGGTCTAAGTCATTCGAAGTTTTTCGAAACGATAATCGCTGAATAACGCCCCGATTAGACCATACTATTGTAAAAATTGATTATTTTGGCTTTATGAAGTTTCACTTTATGCGAATGCATCAGTGAGATTTTTTACGAAATATGTAATGCAATTTGTTCTTTCTGATAATACCATTTTGAACTTCGAATTCAATATCAAGTAAAGTACTTGTGCTATACCTACTATACTTGAGAGCCATTTTGGACTAGTATTCGATGACTTTCAAATAGAAGATAGTATGTTTGATTTGAAAA